CAGCAGCCAAGAGAATCAAAGCAAGTGACCTTGTTCGGGCATCTGGAATCAGATGTGCTTGACACTAGAGCCCAACATGGACTTCAAGTGTGTCAAGCACCTGTTGTTCTGAGTCTGTTTTCTGTTACTTTAATCTGAAAAAGTTCTGTCTAAAAGTGCAAAGGTCCATATAGCATGTCAGAAGCAGACCTAGCAACTGATCCTACTTTAGTGAACATCTAAGACTTAAGTCTCAACTTCTTTGTGCCATTTTGAATTGTTGACTGAAAGTGGACACGGTCCATGGTGGGATTATTCAAGAACCTCATTGTTCTTCAGTATTTCTATATCTTTAAATATTTGTAATAACAGTTTTATTGATATACAATTTATATGCCCAAAATTCTACCCATTTAAAGGAAAAAACAAAACAAAACCGAGTGAAATAGATGAATAACCTAATAAATATTTACATGATCTGTACAAGCAGATGAATTCTGCATTCAAGTGAATGGCAGTCTAACTTAAATCTTCAGAACAGAGAGCTACCACCTCTCAATGAATTCTCAAACTTGGGCCAGTTCACAGATCCACAGACCCTTGAATGAAAGTCAAGTTGAGCTACTTGAGGAAGAACCCCACTGAACTACTCTAAGTTTATTACTATTTGTCTTTCCCTAAATGCATTTATAATCTTTTACAATATTGACTGTGCATTGGGATAAAGTAAATAATCAGGGTTTTTTTAGATTTACTAGACACTGGCTCTAATTGACACTAATTCCAGGAGATATAAAATGTCACTGTGGCCCAACAGTCAGTATTAGGACATGTGGGAGTCAAATTATTAATGGAATCTTAGCTAAGATCTGTCCCACAGTGAGTTCAATAGTCCTTGAATTCATCCTGTAGTGATTGCTGCAATTCCAGAATACATAATGTGAATAGACATAATAATCCACTGGGAAAACTCACACATTAGGTCTATGACCTGAGAAATAAGGGCTGTTACGATAGGTACAATTCAAGTGAAAGCCATTAGAATGACCACTGCTTAGGAAAATAGTAAACCAAACATAATAGCTCATTCCAGGAGGGATTGCAGAGATTAGATCAACAATCAAGGACCTAGAGGATGAAGGGATGGTGATTCCCTTCATCCTCTGGGCACTTGTTAGTGAAGCTCCGCTCTTTGAATCACAGAGATGGAAATGGAGCACCTTCTGGTCAAAGCTTATTGGTGTACTGGGATGCCTCTGGACACTTATAAGTAGAGCTGAAGAAATTTATGACACTTGCTTGAGAGGAGCATAGAGCAGGATAACCTAATCTAGAGTTCAAGGAACTAAGCAACAAAAGCTGAAGAGATACAGAGCCCAGGAAGCAGAGTTGCCTTAGTTTCAAAGGTAGAATGATGATCTCTGGGGTTTGTTAGTTTTCCAAGTTTCAAGGAATTGGATTCTTCACCAACTTGGTTCCAGAGTGTGGAGCTGCTATTAAGATGGTGATTCTTCCCCAAACTGAAAAAAGGGTCTATCATGCCCCAGATGACTAAAGAAAATGGCGTGCATGGGCCAAAGATGTAGTGTTGCCACTAAGATGGACTGAGATAATGGAGTAACCCAAACCTGTGGGAGCAAAGTTATCTACCATTCCAGCGGTTCTAGAAGGTCAAGTTGAAGTTCAGGTTGAAGGGTGAATCCAGAGTGCATGGTCAACATCCAAAGTCTAAAGGGCGGATCATTGCCTACACAGTCTCAGAGAATAGAGGATTCTTTTAAATCTTTGATAGCTGATATAAATTATTTGGCTGGATTTTTAATTTACTTAGTACCTGTTATCCCTTTAAATGTTCCCATTTAAAATTGAAATGTCTACCTTTTCCCTGTTCCACCATTGTGTTTGGAAGCAGACAATTTGTGTCTAGAGTTGCAGATGAAAAATAACTTTGCCCCATGTTAAAATTTGACCTTGGAAGGATTTGGGGATAATATAATGAATGGCAAGCTTTCATCTCTCATACTTCAGACATATGATCATGAGGGACTATTCCCTGGAGAAGGATATCATGCTTCATATAGTGGAGAGTCAGAAAAAAGGAGAAGAACCCTAACAAGATGGATT